CTGCTGCTGCTGGCTCTCGGTGCGCTCGGCTGGACTGCGCTGCGCTCCGCGGCCACCGCGCGCCTCTTTCGGGTCAGTGCTACCCGGGCCCGGGGCCGGGAGGCCGGGTGGTCGGGACATTAGGGGGCCTTGGGCCGCCCTGGGCCCCTTTCTGCCTTTACGGTTCGGGTCACTGGAGTGTGGGGGGTCCTCAGGCGGGGGGAGGCTGGGACGTGGGATCCCGAACCTAAGCTCGCCCCTTAGGTCGCGCGGGTTGGGAATGGGTACGGGGGTGTGGCCGATCTGAGGGTACCGGGACTACGGACCCCGACACGGTGGTGGTGGAGATGGAGAGGGACTGGGGCATACATAACCCTTTCCTGTCGAGGAGGCCCAGGGGGCCCAGGGCCGGCGTGAGGGCCCGGCAGCCCCGCACCCTTTCGGGCAGGGCCGAGCCAGGACTGAGGAGCGGCAGGCGCGGACAGGGAGGGCTGGGCGCTCAGGGGGGCCCTGCGCCTTGCGCCTCCCGGCCGCGCATAGCGGGACTCGAGGTCCTAGGGCCGGTTGTCAGTCGCTGTGGGGAAGAAGCTGGAACGCGGGGTCTCAGCCTGGCGCCTGTCTGGAGTCAGCGCTGCCCTCCAATCGGGGCAGGCAGTGCCCTGGGCCCGGCCAGGCTTGTGGTCACAGCCTTGGGGGTGCCATGGCTTGAGCCTTAGGAGCTGGACTGTGCCGCCTTCAAGGGGCGGAAACTGAATCGCCCAACGTCTACAGAGCCCGAGTGACAGAAGAGAGTGACATTGGCGCGTTGTGTCCCTCCCATCCTTGGGGGCCCCCTGCAGTGCTTGCCCCCAACCCCCACCGGCTCGGCAGCGTAGCTATCCTATGGATGGGCTGGAGTCACCCAGGCCCAGTCTGGCTGGAGGTGGCAGCGGGTACAGGCACAGAGTCCTGGCGCCAACAAAGGGCCCTTTCTCTGCTGTGGGAAGAGGCTGGGCCTTGTTAATCGGGGATGGGGCGTCGTCTGGCTGCCCGTTGTCCCCACCCCCACCCCCATATCACTCACTTGGAACAGAGACTTCTGCCATCCCGTGCCCTGGGGAGGGGGCAGGCATGACAGAGCCCCTCCATCGGTCAGCATAATCACAGTCTGACTTTGTGGCTCCCCTGGCCACCCCAATTCCCAGCCGCGAAATGGGAAGGTGGGAACCCAAGATGGGGATGTGGTGGGCCACTCTTGGATGGCCAGGGCAGAGGGATCATGCCTGAGAGCCCTGTTGGGGGCACAGCGAGGTCATATGCCTTTCACTCTTGGAATGTGTGGAGGTTGGGCCCCCACCCCAGGACACAGGCTCGCCCCTCCCAGGAAACAGGCAGCCTCCCCAGCTCATCTTCTTGGCAGCCGCCTGGTTGCCAGGGGTTACTGGAGCTGGCTGTCTCTATGGCAACTCCTGGTATTGGGGGTGCCTTCAGCCTGGGGGAAGGGAACCAGCTTGTTCTGGCTGCTCTGAGTCTGGAACCCAAGGATTGCAGCCCTGCCCCCAGAACCCCAGGGGGGCTGGATTTCCAAACTCCCCAAGCTCATGGTGCCATTGTCCCCTCTTCCCTCATGTTCTCCCTGATAGCCTCTCAGGTCTGAGGCTCAGGCCGTGTCCACATCTCTGTGACCGCTTTTCCCTTCCTGGTCCCCTCTCTCTTCTGGCCCTCTTCTCTCCTTTGGCCGCCCCCCTGCTTGTTGTTGCCCGCCCCCCCCCAAGCCCTCAGACTCATGATACTCTCTGGTCTTCCCAAATTCCTCCTCCCTGGCAACCCCTTCCCTCATGTCTCCCCCTTGGGGATCACTGGGGTTGTATTCCCAGTGTCCCCCTCCATGCCTTCAAATTACTGTTTATAGGTTCACCCATAGTCCCCTCCACATCTTCTCTTTAATCCTTTCTTCCTGGTCCTCACCCTAGCCACAGCTCCTGTGATACCCCCAGCCCCCCCAACTCCCCCGGGGTGACCCCTCTGGTCTTCCTGGTTTCATGCCCACATATCCCCCACCTTGTGTTCACAGCCTCCCTTCATGTCCCGCAGATCCCTCCACCCCCACCCGCCCTCCTTGAGCAGTCTCTGGACAGCTGGACACTAAGTTTAGCCTTGGCAGGCTCACATGGGCTCTGGTTACATTCCAGGTGGCTGTGGGACTGGGCAGTCCTAACCAACATTGCCTGACCCGGGGAGTCTGGGGCCTTGGTCGTCCCAGCATCATGGCCTGCCGCTTTCTTGCCCACAGCCCCTGGCTAAGCGGTGCCACCTCCAGCCTAAGGATGCCGCCAAGATGCCGGAGAGTGCCTGGAAGTTCCTCTTCTACCTGGGTGCATGGAGCTACAGTGCCTACCTTCTCTTTGGCACTGACTACCCCTTCTTTCATGACCCGCCCTCCATTTTCAAAGGTAGGGGCCCCGCAGGCAAGGTGGGAGGGGTACGTGGGGTCTACCTGCCAACATGAAGCCAGCCCAGAGATCCGGGCCATCGAGGCACCCCAGAGGCAAGAAAGGAGCCACCTGGCTCAGGAGGCTCCTGGGGAAGGTGAGCCCTTATGTCGGTCCAGGTTGCTGAGGTGAGCATGCTCAGAGGCCCAGGCATGCCCAGCCCGGGTGGGAGGCAGGAGGAGGGTGGCAGGAATTTGGGTTCCATTCTGAATGGGGTAGGTTGCAGTAAGGGACAGGGAGGTCGGCTGGTGGGTTCTGAAAAGCACCCTCTGACCGGCGTGTGGAGATGTGAGGAAAGCAGGGTTGGGGGACAAGCAGGGGCGGCAAGGTCTGTGTGTTTGAGCAGGAGGGATGAAGTTGGAGAGAGGTGACTGTGTTCGTGATGGAGCTTGATGGAGTCGTGGGGCCTGAGGGGGCGATGGGCGAGAAGGTGGCTGCCGTGTCGTCTGTGAGCAGAGGCTGGCGGGTTTAGAAAGCCTGGGCTGCGTGGGGCTGTCATGTGTGTCGCCTGAAGGCTCTGGGTGACCGGGCTCCATCGTCGCGGGACAAACATGGGTACTTGTCTGCCCTTGTAGGACCATGCTGCCCACGGGGCCACCTCTGTCCCGACCGAGAGAGCGTTCCCCGGTTCCCCGTGGTAGATCCCCAAAGGGTGCATGCAGACGGTGCCATTCTACTTTCTTTTGTGCGAGTGAGCCAGACTTGCAGTTGCTTGGCGTTGGGCACGGAGCTGCCTCTGCTTCTCCTCGTGACCCACGCTGAGGTAGCAGCTGCCTCTGTGCCCGTGTAGCGGGCACCTGCTGTGTGCCTGGCTCTGGCTGCCTAGCCCGTCTGAAGGCAACTGTGAGGTTGGAAACCTGCTAGTCACAATGACTCCACTTGGGGCCAGGAGGCCCCTGAGGTGGGGAGAGAAGTGGCTGATGTGAGAAATGTTCTGAGCGGTGTGCCTCCCTCCCCCACTTCAGGACCGGTCCCCTGGGCATCCCAACCCAGCTCCTGGTCTGTCCCTGACCGGCGCTGCCCCACCCTCTCCTCCAGCACACCCCACCCTCTCCTCCAGCACACCGCTCAGAACATTTCTCACATCAGCCACTTCTCTCCCCACCTCAGGGGCCAGGAGTCATTGTGGAGTCATTGTGACTAGCAGGTTTCCAACCTCACAGTTGCCTTCAGACGGGACTAGGCAGCCAGAGCCAGGCACACAGCAGGTGCCCGCTACACGGACACAGAGGCAGCTGCTACCTCAGCGTGGGTCATGAGGAGAAGCAGAGGCAGCTCCGTGCCCAACGCCAAGCAACTGCAAGTCTGGCTCACTCGCACAAAAGAAAGCAGAATGGCACCGTCTGCATGCACCCAGCCACAGAGCATGGGGCTGAGAATGCGGAGAGGGACGGTGCGGGCTGTGGCCCTGGGAGGAGCAGGACGCCGAGTCAGATGCACGCCTAGATGTGGGCTGGCGTGGAGGGTGTGCTGCTCCCTCACTGCCAGCTCGGTGGCTGGGAACCGTGGCCTCGCATTTCCACGTAGCACCCCTCACCTGTCCGGGGTGCCTCCACGGGAAGAGGAATGGAGGCTTGGGAGGGTGTGGGGGAGACAGGGAGGTCCCACGACCACAGTCTCACAGGTCCACGCTCCCACGGTCCCGGTGGCTGAGAGGAGGACCTGGGGAGGGCCTTGGGGAGTAGCTGGACGTGTGAAAGTAAGTGGGGGGTGGGAGGAAGCTCTTATTTTATTTTTGGAGGTTTTTTTTTCCTAATAAAACTTTACACTATGTGAAATTAGCCATTGTAGCCAGTTACAAAGAGAAATTCTGCAGGAGCTGACTCCTGTGAGGGCCCTGGAGGAGTCAGGTCATAGACAGCAGGAGGGTGGGGGCCAGGGCTGGGCTGGGGCAGCGAGTGTCGAGTGGGAACAGGGGTTCAGTTTTACAGCGGGAGCTCAGCAGATGTGTGCATGACCATGTGAATAATCCTGTTGCTGTTGAACTGAAAAGTGGTTCTAACGTATGTATGTATTTATTTATAATACACACCTGCATATATATGTGTATTTTTGCCAGTTTTAATATGTCCACTATTTTACAGTATATAACTAAGTGACATTTAACACATTCATAAGGTTGTATACACCATCACCTCTATCTAGTTTTAGTGGTCAGTGAACCCACAAGAAAACACCCCTGACCGCCCCTGCCCGTGACCAGTCACTCACCCCCCTTGCCTCAGCCCCTGGCAGCCACTCATCTGCGTCCCGCCTGCGGATCCGCGGGCACTTCACGTAAGGACCACACCCTGTGGCCTCTGTGCCTGGCCTCTCACTCGGCGTCCTGTTTTCAGCTCGTCCACGTTACAGCGAGGGTCAGGGCTTCCCCCCTTTCCTCGGCTCAGTGATGTGCCCTGTGTGGCTGATCCTTCATCAGCTCCTTTTGGCAACTGTCCCCAGGGCTCCTGTGGCCACGCACCCTGAGCCCTGTGTTCGTCCCCAGAGGCACATGCCTGGGACCAAGTCTGTGCCTTCACAGCAAGGAGGCGCCCAGAGGGGAGGGGGTGATCAGGGCCCCTTTTGAGACTGGGAGGAGTCAGGGCAGGCTGGGTGGAGGTGGCCTTGTCAGGACTGGGGTGGAGGCAGCCAGGTACGGATGGAAGAGGGTGCTGAAGGTGTCCAAGTGCTTCCTAGTGGCAGGAGAACAGGGCACAGCTGAAGGGTCAGCACTGAGTTGGGGGAACTGGAGCCTTCTGGAGGCAGTTGGGCTCCAGGGAGGCTGGAGTGTCTGACTCCAGGTCAGGGGTGCGTGGGGTGTCAGGAGACCCAGGATGGAGCCTGGGGGGTACAGGTTTAGAAGGTGGGCAGGAGGAAGCCATTGAAGAGCAGGGTATAGTCCAGTGGGTTCTGTGTTAGCGTGAGCTGGGGGAGGAGGTGTTGGAGGGTGGGTTCAGTTAGGAAGCCTAAGTGTGGGTGGACACAGGCTGCAGGGTCGGGAAAGGGACCTCGGGCCACTCTGGGAGGGCCGCACTCAGGAGAGGGGAGAGGGTGGCGGCTCCCACCCGGTAAGGGGTGGCTAGGAGGAAGTGGCTTCCTGGACAGAGATCCCAGCTGGTTTGAAGGAACCTGGTCCATTAGGACAGTGAGAGCAGTTGGAAATCCTTCAAGGGACGGATTTTTTTTTTTTAACAAATCTAAAACTGCTCTAAAAAATAACATCTATTCACACAAAATAATGGGTAGATAATTGGGACAGGAGAGCCACCATTCCCTACACCCTCAGAGATGCATGGCATGCCCCAGCATGAGGAGGGTGCTGGCCTGGCTTGAGGGGGCTTAAAGGGCCTCCCGGGGTCCCGACAGCTCAGTCTGGCTCTCCCCAGACTGGACGTCAGGCATGGCAGTACCACAGGACATTGCAGTCGCCTACCTGCTGCAGGGAAGCTTCTATGGTCATTCCATCTACGCTACGCTGTACATGGATGCCTGGCGCAAGGACTCAGTGGTCATGCTCATCCACCACGTGGTCACCCTGGTCCTCATCGTCTCCTCCTATGCCTTCCGGTGAGTTCAGGAGGGGACGGGGAAGGGTAGGGTGAGGTGGGGGAGAGGGCACAGTGTGGGGCGGAGGCCAGCGCCTGGCCACAGGGACTCTGGGCACAGGGACTCGGGGCCCCACGGGGAGGGTTCTGGTGAGATAGGGAGCAGTGGGGTGAGAGCGCTGCCAGTCCCACCCAGCCCCACATAGACAGCCCCCTGGGGTGCCTCTCAGCACATGCTCACTGCCATCAGCCATGCACAGCTCCACGGGGCTACAGCCTCGAGCACACAGACAGGCCTGGTGTGGCCAGCACGCTGCAGCTGGCACAGGGGAGCCCGAGTGCGTCAGTGTGCCCGCTGCCTGCGAGGCCACCCCAGTCAGAGGGAGTCGCTGCAGCTTGAAATGACAACCTCTCGGACTCAGTGAGCTCATGAGGATACACGTTAAAGTTCACTTTGCCTCTTCTCTTCTTCGAAGTGACTGACAGAAGATCTCACGAGACATAAAGGGCTCGTGTTTGCTGGTGACCTGGCTGCTCCAGACACAGCCCCAGTGTAGCAGTTGCTAGTCACAGGTGGCTACTCCAGCTTGGGTTGCACTTGAGTAAAGTCACGTCTGCTGATTGTTTGCCACGTTCAGGCTGCTCATTGGCTGGAGGTTCCTATATGAGACAATCCCCATCATTCCAGAAAATTCTATTGAATGTCACTCCTGCTCTAGAGGATAAAGTCAGATGATAAGAACAGAAAAGTAGCAGTTTGTTTGAAGGTGATACTCTGAAGAGCAATCAAGTTGGAAGATGAGACTGCAGGGATGTGGAGGAGTGGGAAGCGGATGTGGGCTGGAGTCATAGGTGTAGGTAGGCGCGGACAGCAGGTAGAAAGGCAGTGAAGGAGACTTTGAATGGCTGGAGGTGCTTGTCGGGCTGTGGGAACAGCATGTGCAAAGGGCTGTGATAGGTGGTGGTGGTTGGGGGCAGGGAGGGGATGGAGACCTGGTGAGAAAGATTTATAGGGAAAGACGAAGCATGACTCAGGTCCCTTGGCTGAGTGGCTGTGAGGTGGGACCAGAGGGACTGTAGCAGCCTTAGGCCATGGGGTGTGTGTGTGTGTGTGTGTGAGAGAGAGCTGGAGTGTAGGCCACAAGTGCGGGGGGGGGGGTAGGGTGGGAGTGAGAGAGACAAGAGTGGGGAGCAGAACAGGTGGATTTTACTAAATTACACTGTTGAGGGAAGCAGTGGGCGAGGTCTGCTGTGCCATGTGAGTCAGCTCCCTGGCTGGGGATCAAACTCAGGCAGTAGTGGTGACAGCACTGACACTTAGCCCCTAGGCCACCAGTGAAGACTCCGGCCATGGTCTTTTTGAGGTGCGTCTACAGTTTGTAATTTCACATTTAGTGTATAAATCTGGGAATGTCACCTGAGCCATGAGATTCACCGAGGGAATGAATGCTTGACTTGGGGGAACTGGACACAGAATGATCTGGGCCTGTGAGGACCAGTTGTCTTGGAGGCGTCAGAAGTCACAGAAATGAGGGATAGAGAAGGAACTTTTTTTTTTTTTAAAGATTTATTTATTTGTGCATACAGAACTGGGGTACAGGCCAGAGGCTCAGGGGCGGCAAGAGGCTTCACCAGAGACAGAGTGGGGAGCAGAACAGGCAAATGAAGTACACTGCTGAGGGGAGCAGCGGGCGGGTCAGGAGAGGTCTGCCACCCCATGTGGTCACCTCCTGGCCAGGCGGGAATCGAACTCATGTGGAAGTGGCTTTAGCTTCTCAGTGCAGTGCTTTACTCTGCTGTACCACCAGGAGGGCCGAGAAGGAACTTTTAGGGAATCTCCTGGGTCCCCTGAGGACCCAGCGAGGTGGGGCAGGACAGGACCTTTGGATTGGGGTGCCTGGGCCGGTACGGCCTAGTTCCTGACCCAGTGGGATGAGCAGGGACACCAGAAGCCTGGAAATGCAGCAGAGAGGGCTTGTGCCAGGGCCTGAGTGCAGGGCAAGGGTCTCCAGCGTGACCCCCCTTCAATCTCTTCTTCTTCCTCCCCCTCCACCACCTCCCCTCCCCTTCAGGTATCACAACGTGGGCATCCTTGTGCTCTTCCTGCACGATATCAGCGATGTGCAGCTGGAGTTCACTAAGCTCAACGTCTACTTCAAGTCCCGGGGCGGCTCCACTCACCGGGTGCACGCGCTGGTGGCAGACCTGGGGTGCGTCAGCTTCAGCCTCAGCTGGTGAGCCCCTGGAACTGGCAGGAGCGGTGGGGCAGGCGGAGGTGGGCAGGGGCAGACAGGGAAAGAGGCTTTCTTGGCGAGGAGCGTGGGGGCAGTCAGGGAATGGGAGCGCTCGGGTGGGTGAGAAGCAGCTCAGGTGGAGCTGGAAGGGCTAAAGGAGGAATGAAGACAGACGGTAGGGTAGAGGGGGACAAGGAGGGGACAACAGGAAAAGGATGTTTGCCGACAGGTGGATGGGCAGGGCTGGCGGATCCCCGGCTGGTACTTTTCTCCACAGGCTGGTACTTTTCTCTGACCTGCCCCCCTCCTCACAGGTTCTGGTTCCGTCTCTACTGGTTTCCACTCAAGGTCCTATATGCCACATGCCACTGCAGCCTGCGCTCAGTGCCCGACATCCCCTTCTACTTCTTCTTTAATGCACTCTTGCTGTTGCTCACCCTCATGAACCTCTACTGGTTTCTGGTAAGTGATCTGCCCCATAACTCCATGGGCCTCTGACCCTCCTCAGTCCCGATCCCCGGGACTCTCAGTGGTCTAGGTACAGGGCCTCTCAGGTTCGCCCAGGGAAGAGGGGTATATTAGGCAACAGAATAGCATGTGCAAAGGGCCTGTGGCAGGAGCACATGGCCATTGGGAGGGTGGTTGATGCGGGCTCCCCATCTGACCTGTGTCTTCCCCTCCCTCAGTACATCGTGGCTTTTGCTGCCAAGGTGCTCACTGGCCAGATGAATGAACTAAAGGATGTACGGGACTACGACTCCGCAGAGGCACCAAGCCCCAAGCCCAGCAAAGCCGAGTGAGTGTGGAGGGGCCATAGCCCCAGGTTCATTGCTTCGGCCAGCTCTGTCTGTCCTTCATCCTTCTACCTGAGTGTGCTCTGGGGGCAGGTACAGAACATGTGGCAGGGCAGCAGATGGGGCGATGCGAATGGCGCTCCCCCACCCTGTGCCTGCATCCAAAACAGAGACTGCGGTGAAGGCGGATGGCAGAGCACCAGAATTAGATGTATAGGGCAGGCAGCAGGGAAACGGGTAGAGAGGTCTGGGCTGGGGGCGAAGCTGTGAGTAGAGAAAGCTGTGAGTAGAGCAGTGCAGGGCAGGCCTAGGGCTGCATGATTGGAGTAGGTGAGCAAGGCTGGCGTATGGGAGGAGCAACCGTGGGCCAGCCCAGACAGCGATCTCCAAGCTGTGGAAGTGGGGGCAGGGTAACTGACCTCTTACGGCCTAGCAGGGCAGCACACTCGCCAGCCAAGCAGGAGATGGGGTTGGAGTCTGGACCCAGTCCAGCCCAGGAGAGAGTTCTAGGAAGGAGAAAACAAGGGCCTTGTGAACATCCTGAAGGCGGAGCCGCTGGGACTTGTCGGCCTCAGGATCTGAGTCAGGTGGTGTCAGAAGCCTCCCACACACACACACCCTGCCCCCGGCCCCCCAAGGCTCCAGGAGCGAGTGGAGGAGGGTTTGGGTAACCAGTAGGTTCAAGTGTGTGCAGGACCCCAAGGTACTGTGGTGTTTGAGCAGCGCTGAGGCTCCAGGCCTGAGGAGCTGACCTGTGGGCCCTTGACTTGACCTCTGGGGGATTATCAGTGGTTTGGGAGAAGCAGTTGCCTCAGAGCTTCATGAGATGGGTCAGAACCAGCAATGAGGACCACAGAGGAGCAGAGATTTTTTAAAACATTGAAAGATGAGATTGGGATCAAGGGAGTGCTCTCTGCTGGGGAGTTCTAATAGAGGTTACATCCTGGTAAACCCACTGGAAACTGAAAGCAGCGTAAGTTGAATATACATTTAATCTACTAATCATCATAGCTCAGCCTAGCCAATCTTAAAACTGTGCAGAACAGAACTAAAATAAAATAAAAATAAAAACATCAAATAATAACATTAAAGAAACTAAAAAAGAATTGCTCAGTACACTGGCCTTAGCACCATTTGGACAGAATCTTCTAATGCAAAGCCTTTTATATTCGTGTGTGGAGCAGCTCACGATTGAACGGTGTGCACTTGTGCACTCTATTGGTTATTTCTCTGCTGACGGCCCATCACTAATGGGGATGTTGTGGTGCATCACAGGCCTGGGGAAGAGCTCAAAATTCAAATTGTGGTTGTTACTGAATGTGTTTCACTTTCTTGCTTTTTTACTTTCTGTAAAAGGAAACATTTTGTATCTGCGAGGCATGAGGCCTAAGGAGGCCCAAAGCCCAAGCCTGGTGGGGAGAGGGCCCGGCAGGATGGCAGGGCACCAAGGTGCCGGCTGACGGCAGGGAGGCCATCTGTGTCACCCGGCATTTAGCCAGGAGGAAGTGTGTGTCTGTTCAGATCCCAGATCTTTTTGTGAAGGTTGAACCAGTGAGACAGGCTTTGAATGTAGGTGGAAAACAAATGAAAGAGTCAAAGACCACCTCGACTTCTGGCTCAAGCCGGCAGTTACTGAGATGAGCATTGGCGTGGCCTGAGGAGGGGGGTCGGGAGTCCAGGGTGGGGGTGTAGGATCATTCATGTCCAGGGAACATGAGTCAGGAATCTTTTTGAAATAATATAATAGTTTATTTTTACACCATTTTGTGCCTTTTTCCATCTCAGTTGTAATCCCCGTGGGCTTCCCATCACCAAATCACCCGTGTGCCATCACCACAGTCCCATGCACTTCCCCACCCCCATTTTTTTATCCCATTCCCCACCCCACCCCTGTAAAATGTCTATGGTATATAGTGGTTCATTATTATTATTTCCCCCCTGGTCCTTTATGCTCCTGCTATGAGAGAAACCATCCGGTATTTTTCCTTTTCTTTCTGGCTTATTTCACTAAGTATGATTGGGAAGGCGCCATTTTTATTAATTTATGTTTGTGGCTATATTGGTCTGTGACACTATGTGATTTAGAAGTACAGGTTCAGTGAGTAAGGAGTTCTGTGGCGAGATTCACGAGGTCTCACTCTTGAGTCTGAGCCACCTTAGAGGCTTCTGGAAGAAGCAGTGGCTGAAGAGAACCACAGCTGGGGGTGGGCAGTGCCTGCTTGGCCCAATGTAAAGTCTGATAGTTCTCCCTGCTGTAGAACAAGGAGAGCTGAACCCAGGGCAGAGACAGGTCAGACCTCACGCTACCCAGAGCCACACTGCCTGCTTACCTCCTCTAAGAGCACCCAGCATGACTGTGGGTTGGGGGCTGGCCACCCCAGCTCCAAACAGCAGCACTTCTGCTGTGATGATGTTTTATTGGGGAGCACTCTGCCACGATCAGACCCCAGGGACAGCTGGGTCTGAAACTGGGTGGCATAAAAAACAGTTAGATGGAGGCAAATGCTACAAAAGAGCTGATCTGGACACCACGGATCCATTAGGCTGTGGAAAATTAGCAGGCCCCGGAACCATCCCACATCAGAGGAGACCACGACAACTGCGTGCAGAGCAGGGGCCTGCAGGAACTGCTGGAAGCCGAGCACAGCCTGCCATTCAGGTGACAGTGAGGTGCTGGTGTGTCCTAGCTGGAACCCCTGTTCCTTGGAGCTGGTCAGGGGAGGCTGGCAAAGCTTGTACGGGGCTCTCTGCTCTCTCTCTGCCCTCCCTGCAAACCTAAAGTTACTCTAAAATGAAAAGAAAAATAAAAGGCATGAGAGACCTTCAAAAATGGCACTGGATGTTATATTAGTCTCCTGGGGCTGCTGTAACAAAGTGCCACAAACTGGGTGGCTTAAAACAACAGAAATTTATTCTACCCCAGTTTTGGAGGCCCAGAAGTCTGACATCAAGGCGAAGTCCAAGTAAAGCCCGCGGTTTAGTTCAGCAGGGCTGTACTTCCTCTCAAGGCTTTACCTTGTCTCTTCCGCTTCCAGGGGCGCGAGACAGCCTTGGCATCACCCTAGTCTCCGCCTCACAGGGCTTCTCTCACTCTTCTCTCTGACAAGGATCCTGTCATTGGGTTTAGAGTGCAGCCTATCTGCAAAGATGCTTTATCAAATAAAGTCACATTCAGATGAACAAATCTTTTGGGGTCCACCATTCAACCTATCACAGATGCTAAGACTCAAACAATTAGATACGTCAGAAGTAAGAATGAACAAACTGAATGAAAGCTGCGAAGAAATGACCCAGAATGCATTCTAAACAGATGGAAAATAGGAAAGCAGAAGTCTAAGGTCTGGTCTTGCTGTTTTCTAACAGGAGACATAGTTATGTGATTTCATTCTAATAAGGAGAATAGGTAATGCTGAGCACGTTCCAGAAAGTGACCAGACACAAATCATGAGAAAAAGGCAGCATGTCCTAAAATATCTTAGGGAAAGTAGGAAAACAGCCACAGAGCAAAGGGCCCACAGAGCAATGACACTCATGTGCATGAGACGCGAAGGCCATGGGGTCAAGTGTCACCTCAAGTGCAGAACCAGTAACTGGCAGCAAGGAATTCTGCACACAATTCTAAAAACAATTACTCAAGAGAAACAGGCATAGCACCTAAGAAAGTTACCATCACACCTCTTCTGTACAGGAAATAAGGACACTCCCAAGAGGAAGATCCAGCAGAGAAATCGACACGTATCTGATAAGATTTTTAATTGCTTAATTGGAGAAGTTTGTTTTTTTTTAAAAAAAGTATTGTGTAGTATGATCACAAGTGCTTCTATTTTTGGATATTAAATATTATTAAACAGGATTGGGGGCTTTGTATGTTGTAAGAAGGTAAGGATTGCTTTTAGGCACTTATGCTAAAACTGTTAGGGTATAGAGAGGAGAGAGTGGAACAGGTACAACAAAATAAAAGGAAGTAAGATAGAAATCTAAGGCAGGAAAGGTAGTCTCGAGTGCTAGCTATCCAAAACACGGAATAATCATGACTGTTAGAAATTAGGTTTTTAAAATACTCTGCCTTTGTGCTGGTGGAGAAACTCCTGTGTGTGTAGAGTTGCAAGAAACAGACAGGAAGAGACGTCAGCTGTGCTTCTTAATCTGGACCTTTCCACGTGATGCAGTTTTAAACCACCAGGACGGGGCTACGGGAGATGGGGGCCCACCCTTTGTCAGAACCTGAGTGAACCGATGTTCTATTTAAAACACAAGGATCATGCCTCAAAATTGAGCAAATCAAAGAGTAGGGAACCTTGGAACCAGGATCACAATGACCATGAGGTGAACAGTTAGGTTTGACACAGGGAGAAAAAGATGACTGAGAGGCTGGAAACATGCCGTGGGGCAGTGAAGAAGGCCGCGGTCACCTGGTGGCCCAGCCTCCTGAACACAGGCCTCAGCCCCCGGGGCTGGCCCCTGTGCTCATTGTCCTCTGTGGGCTTCTGAGGCCACCGGCCATGGAGGGTCCCACACCCCTCTGGCTCAGCTGACTGCCCTGAGGATTCCCCATCACTTGCTCCGTCCAGGTTTCCACCTCACCTCCGTACACCACCACCCCCAAGTCTGATAAACGGACTCTGGCTGAGGCACCAGTGCCAAGGGCTGCATGAGACAGGGCAGTCAGCAGGCCTGCTGTCCTCAGGGCTGTCCTCACCAGTCTCCCCGTGACCAACATGTCCCCATGAAAGCAGTCTGATGAGCACCACGATTCCCATCAGCCAGTCACCTCGGTAGACAGACCCTCTCCCTGCACAGCAGCCAGGCCTCTGCCCCACCCGGGCCTGCGGGCTCCCTGGTGCTCCCATCAGGAGATGCTCGCCCCCTCCACCTGTCCCTCTAGCTTCTTCCTGGCAATAGACCATCCCTCTCTACTCACGAGTGCTCCCCACACCTGAAACCTCGCCCTTCTGGCACCCAGGCCTCTTTTCTCCTAATCCCAGGAGAAAGAGGCCGCTGCCTCTTTTCTTGTTGCTAGCAGCTCTGTTGTGAGAGACTCTACGGAACACACACTTTGCCCTGGCTAATGCAGCATTTTTTGTCCATGCACAGTTATGCCATCACCACAGCCAGCTGGAGATTTTTGTCACACCCTGCCCCCCACCCCCCATGCCAAAGAAATCCCTGACTCAACCCAGTGCCCCTCAAACAGCCGGTGGTCTGCCTGCCCCGGGTCCTTCCACTTCACCCCAACTTCTGACACCCTGTCCAGGCCCACAGTGCCCCCAATACCATCCTGTCTCAGTCAGCTGCATTCCAGACATCCTCTAAAACGTACCAAGCCAGCCCCTCCCCCACCTCAAACTCCCTCTCCTGAACATTTGTCATTTGAAGTTGCTGGTAACCCAGGCAAAGACCTTGCAAAACTCTGGGGAGCCCCCCCCCATATCTTCAGGACAACATGTTCTATAATCCTCAGAGTCGCCTGCCCTCACCTCTACCACCCTCTGTCCCCTTCATCCTCACCGCTGTCGTTACTGCAGTGATTCAGGGACATGAACAGTGTAAATCAGAGGCTGGATGTCTTAGGCCCTCTCATCTGCGTTGGGTACTCCCCCCACCTTCCACCCCCCCAAAAAAAACGATTAAGGCTGTTTTTGAGGGGAGAGGGGACCTTGGAAACTTGTAGGGGGAAAAGCAAACCAAACTCACCTGGAAACTGATAAAAAGGCACAGGCAGGGAGCCTTTGAACGTACATTTTCTGTAAAAATGTAGAAATTAAAGCCACATGAAAATAGACAGGAATGCATAAATACAGTAACCCAGAGAACATCAAACTTTAGCAACTGACGAAGGTCCTAGAAGGGAAGAGCTGTCCGGGTGTGTGGGACACTCAGTGACCAGATGGAGGAAAGAGCAGATGCTGTGACATCAGCACTCTCCCCCGCATCTCCTCACTGCAAAGTGAGCTGTGAAATCTAGCCAGAGCCGACTTGAGAGCTTGTCATCCAGTGAGTAATCCACCTGGAGAAGAAGCTGGGAAAGATGGATAAAATTGACCGCAGGCAAAGCCAGAGGACAAAAGGCAGCTGGGAGGGCTTATCTGTCACTGCATAGATAAAGGGCTCCCGCTGGTGGTGGGAGAGAGCCACAGCCCAGGAGGAGTGGCTTCACCCGCCTAGGAAGGGATGTCCATTTGGCTCCAGCCCAACAGAAAAGGTAATTATAGTGACCAGATCATGTCCTCCAGGAAGGCTTTCCATTTTTACATCAAAGGGTGGCTGAGCCCGAGTACTGGGCAAAACAGAAGGGCGGGACAGCCTTGTGCTGTGCTGGAGCTGTGAGGCAGCAAGACCCACACTTGACCCTCAGAATGTTTTTCAGGCTTAGGGCTTTTTTGTTTTTTGTTTTTTAAGATTAATTTTCGTTTATTTATGCATGTAAGAGCTGGGGTGTAGGCCAGAGGTAGGCAATGTATGAGAGGGTTCACCAGAGACAGAGTGGGGAGCAGAATAGGTAGAGCTACTGAAATACACTGCTGAGGGGAGCAGCGGGCGAGACAGGAGAGGTCTGCCGCGCCATGCGGGTCAGCTCCCTGGCTGGGGATTGAACTCATGCTGCAGTGGCTGCTAGTAGCCTTATAGGGCTGACATTTAACCCCTTGCTCCACCAGGGAGGCCCCCACTTAGGAATTTGTAAACTCAGCTGTTAGAGCCTGTGTCTACAGAGGCAGAACACAGTGGCATGAAGAATTTCCATAAAAGGGGACAGAGATGGGCCAGTTAGCCATGACCATGAGGTTGCAGTGACATGTGCCCAGGTACCGCAGAGCCCATTAAGCAGGATAGGATGTTGCACCAGTGTTGGTAAAGGCTGCTAGGAGGGGGCCCTCCCTGATGGTGCAGCTGGTTAAAGCGCAGCACTAGGAAGCCAGCTGCAGGCTCTTCAGTCTGAGTTCAATCCCTGGCCAGGGAGATCACCATGTGGCTCCTGCTGCCCCACCTCAGCAGTATACTTTGTCAATCTGCCTGTACTGCTCCCCACTCTGTCTGGTGAATCCTCTCACCCCCTGCACCCTTGAACTGTACCCCAGTTCTTGTGTGCATTTTTTTTGAAAGATTTATTTATTTTGTGCTTACAGAACTGGGGCACAGGCCAGAGGCTCAGGGGCGGTAAGAGCTTCACCAGAGACAGAATGGGGAGCAGAACAGGCAGATCGACGAAGTACACTGCTGAGGGGAGCAGCCTGCGGTCAGGAGAGGTCTGCCGCGCCATGTGGTCACCTCCGGGGCAGG